TATTAGTAATGCCTTGTTGGCACAGCAAAACATTCAAAGCTAATGTGAGTTAGGCTTCGGACATCTTTTGTGTGCGGTGGGACTTAAATGGGTGCACATTTTGTGGAACCACTTATTACATTCGTCACAATGCATTCCCTCCTCCACAGGGAACATTTTGGTTGTCCACATTTGTGAGTACTACCAACCATTTTAGTCAGATCAAGGTGTAACACACAATATGATAACAGTATGAACACAAATGTCAGTCAACGAATAAAAGGTTACCACAAGACAAACTTTAGCAAGATTTTAAACCTTACCTAAAGTAATTTAATACAGACCAAGAATGCTTTCGAATGTAATAAATACACAAAAGCCAAAAAAACTCAATAGAATAGCACTTTAACTGTAGTAGGTTCAATTGGTTTTGTCTGGGTCACACCAGTACCCAGTGATGTATCGCCCAAGAATTGTTTCGGGATAAAAATCCCTATTGCATGTTGCACAGTCGGGTGTCTAGCACATGCCGTGACAACACTTACGACGCTGACGTATTCCCAGCTATCAGTACTTATGTTACCGGAACAGCCCTCATCAACCTTTTTGTTAGCCAATGCCATGAGGCTAATTGCCTCCTTGATGAGCAGTGTTTTTCGCAAACAAAAAAACACACATAACCAGTGGGATTTAGATTTTGATCACCTTTTATAGGCAGTGGGATTTAAGCGGGTACACACCTTATGGAACCACTTCTTGCACATCAAATTGCATTAATTCTTCCACGGGGAATAAACACTATGGCTGTCCACACTTGAGAACATAGCCGACCATATTAAAAATTAACTGAAAGTGGTAGCACAAAAATGGATATGTAAAAATTTCAAACCTTAACCGAATAAATCAAGTCAAAGTTGACCAAATATGCTTTGATCCAATAAATACACAGAAGCAAAGTCAATATACCCAAATACAATAAAATTTGGCAGAAATAAATTCAATTAGAGTGCAAGCAGTAGTTTTGATGCGTAATTTACTATTAAAACAGTAAATTTAACTCAACGGGCAATAATATCAGTCCTTTTTAAATAGCGCACCGGATAGCTCTCTATACATTTGTGCGGGGCCTAACCTGATCGTATATCATGTCACAAGCTCTAAACATGAATGATCAGACGGCGTGATCGCCATTCACTGGAAGAATATTTAGATTGGCAATATTGGCAATGAGGATATATATCCGCATTCACATGAATGATTACCAAGTCTAACAAGTAAGAACAGATTTCAGATTTGTGTAGTAAGGAGAGAAGGCCTACGGCCTATGTTAGTCCTTTTCTAGTATGCTTCTGTGAGTGTCCAGTCTTCTCTTGAAAGAGTCAATCGAAGGTGCGGACACCACTGCTTCAGGCAGCAGGTTCCAAGTATTGATGACTCAGTTTCAGTTTCAGTTTGGGAAGGACAGGAGGCTCGATGGCCTATGTTAGTCCTGGCAATGGTGGTCTCTCAGTTGATCCAACTTTCTTTTGAAAGAGTCGACGGATGGAGCCTCAACCACGTGCTGAGGTAGTGAATTCCACTCGTTGATGATTCGATGGGAAAGTCGATAGTCAGCTGACAAGTAATTTGTTCTCGGCTTGTGAACTTTTTTGGAGTGTCCTCGTAAATTCTCTGTTTTGGAAGACAAGAAAAATGGGGGCATGTTAGGTACAAATTTATCACTAAGCAATTTGTAGACTGTAATCAAGTCGCCTCTAGTTCTGCGATATGACAACGGGAAAAGGTTCAGCTTGGCCAGTCGAGATTCATACGGAAGCTTCGCTATTGCGGGAACCAGCTTAGTCGCCGTTCTCTGAACCTTTTCCAGAAGCTCACTGTCTTTTTTAAAGCAGGGGCTAGCCGCCTGTATGCAGTACTCAAGTTTAGGACGAACGAACACTGTATACAAAGTCAAAAACGTCTTAGTGTCGACATGACTAAAAGCCCTACGTATTGACCATAACGTTCTAAAACTTTTGGCGGCTATTGCACGGCAGTGTGCAGTAGTCTTTAAGTCTTGACTAACGATAACTCCTAAGTCATTATATGTCTGGACGACAGGTAGCTCAGTGTTATTCATCGTGTATGTATCTGTGCCTTGATGACCGATATGCATCACAACACACTTGGAAGTATTTATCGGCAACTGCCATGTTTGAGACCATTCAGATAATCTCTTCAGGTCATTTTGAAGTTCTAAGCTATCACTCTTACATCGTATCGTTCTCCATATCTTGACATCGTCAGCATATAGCAAGACCGATGATGATAGGAGACAAGGAAGGTCATTTACATACAAGAGGAATAGCACTGGCCCCAAAACTGTACCCTGGGGCACTCCACTAAGCACAGTTTCCCAGCTAGATAACTTTGAGTTCACCGTTACTCTTTGTTGACGCCCAACTAAGAAGTCTTTTATCCACATCAATAAATTACCTCCAATCCCGACATTTCTTAACTTATATAACAGCCGGTTGTGCGGAACTTTATCAAAAGCTTTACTGAAATCAATGAAGGCGACGTCTACAGGTAGCTTTTGGTCCTTAAGAGCGCACCAGCTTTCACGAGCCACTAATAAGTTAGTGAGACAAGAATAACCTATTCTGAAGCCGTGCTGCTTCTCCGAGAGGATCCGGTTTTTATCGAGATACTTAAACAGCTCCTTCCGAATAATCTTTTCTAATATTTTAACAACCACACTAGTTAGGCTAACGGGGCGGTAGTTCTCAGGTTTGTGTTTCGTGCCTGTTTTGAAGACAGGACTTACTATGGCGTTTTTCCAATCTTTCGGTAAGCGACCCTGCGTAACGGATAGGTTAAAGCATGTACTTAAAGGGTTCGCAACGAAGTTAGATAATTCCTTCAGTAGCCTAGGATGTAATTCATCGGGCCCCGTGGATTTACCTATGTCAAGCTTATTTAGCAGACCAAAGACATCGAGTTCTTTAATGGTCACGCTATCCAGTGTATGTATGGGGGGATCTGTATACGCTGACGAGAAGGGCGCTTCTATGGTATATACGTTGCTAAAGTAGTTCGAGAACGCTTGAGCCTTACCAAAGTCGTCCTCCACTAATGATGAAGCAGTACTGTCTCCCCATAGAGCAGGAATATTTCCTTTTCTCCTTGTCCTTTGGTTTATATAGGAATACAAGCGTTTAGGACATTCTATGGATTCCTTAACAAGTTTTTCTTCGTACAATTTTCTAGACTTACGGAGGGTCGAGGCACAAGTGTTCCGAGCCTTTCGATACTGAGATTTTGACTCATCAGTCCCCAGTAACCTAAATCTATCCCACGTTTTCCTTTTCTTACGGAGAAGGATACGGACCTCCCTACTGAACCATGGTGGTGAGTTTTTCGGCCCCTTTGGTATAGTCCAAGGGATGTGAGGTGTGGTAACTTTTAAGTATGAATTTCGAAATGCGTCCCAGGCCGTTTCAATGGAGGACTCTGGGTCTATTGTCCAATCTATTAACGATGCTGAGTGCATGATGTCTGGTATGTTTGCTTTCCAGACGTTGGGTCTGGACTGGACTGACGCGTCCTCATGACTGGCAGTTATATGGAAGTCGAAAGTTAAAACTGCGTGGTCACTTTTACCTAAGGGTGGCATATGATGGAGGTTCGCAACATCATCCTCATAGTGAGTCAGTATAAGATCTAATAAGGATGATTCAGTGTCCGGGTCGTACCTAGTCGCTTCTTTCACATGTTGCACTAAGGAACATGTGATAACCGCATCAACTAGTTCCTGCTCGAAAGAATTCTCCGACGATTTAGTTCGCAGATTTTCCCAGTCTACCATAGGTGCATTAAAGTCCCCTAGGATTAGACATCGACCACTTTGGGACCAAGTATTGAGACTGCTTAACAGGATCTCATTTGCCTCACAGCTTGGACTGCGATAGACCAAACCAATCAGCAGCTCTTGTCCCTTGCATTTTAAGCGAAGACTAACTAATTCACACGTCCCACTCTCATGGGATACACTATCGATAATGGTAAATGGGATAGCATTCCTAATGAATAGAGCTACTCCCCCTCCTTTGCGCTTTTGTGTTCTGTCGGCCCTTACTAACGTAAAGCCCTCGAAATCAAGTTCTATACTATCTATAGCCTGTGTCAGCCAGGTTTCTGTTACTGCAATTATATCTGGCTTTATAGAGTCAATCTGTACACCTAGTTCCGATCGCTTATTAAGTAAGCTTCGTGCATTGGTGTAACAGATCCGAAGCCTGTTTAAGTGCCTTCGTGCTTCACCCAGAGTGGCTTCGGCATCATTCTCTGTCGAAGTCTTACAACCCGAAAATTTACAATTTTCAGGTCCTTTTCGCCAGCGTCTAACCTATGTTGTAGTTCTTTCTCGGCTTCCCGTCTTTTAACACGGTCTGCCAACGGTAGGTCCTTTCGGATAAAGACTCCTGAACCCTTTAATTTGTGTCCATTTTGTAAAATTAGGTGTGAAAAGCTGTATGCCACGGGTATTTTGTTCGTTCTTGGCTTTTCTACTCGCCTGCTATGTCCTCTGAGGTGTCCCGATCTAGTGGGAAGAAAGAGAGAGAATAAGTTAGGTCCGAAATCATTTCTCAGTATTCTGTACATCAATATTAGATCTCCCCTTAGTCTGCGATAGGACAGAGCAAAGAGGTTCAGTTTTTCAAGCCGCTCTTTATATGATAAACCCCGGAGTTCCGGAATTGCACGCGTAGCTGCCCTCTGTACCTTTTCTATTATGTCCGAGTCCCCTTTGAAACAGGGGCTTGCAGCCTGAACACAGTTCTCTAACCTTGGTTTGGACCAAAACGTGTGGGTTCGGATACATGATTTACTAATGCATGCTCCTTATATATATAGTGTAGTTGAACTTAAATTTATGGCCGTCTTGATTTGACCGCTTCTGCAAAACCTTACGCATTTTCGTGAGGACCCACCAATCGTTTTATGATGGTCTGACCTTCAAGTGCTCAGTAACCTCCCTTAATGGACGGTGCCAATGGATCGTTGACCGTTTGCTTACCTTTGGTCGGTTAAATTCTATTCCCAAAGATGACGGTTACATACTCGTCGGTTGTGGCAACTGCGAAATATTGGACTTTTATAAGATTATTGTTTATGTAATGCTTACGGTTTTTGTTCTCAACAGCCACAAACAGGTGGAAAGGAAGCGTTTATCGTCTGGTTTGGTTCGAGTTCTTGGTCTTCGTCGGTATATACTCCGTTTTATCTGTTACATACAGGTTTATCCTCAGTGCGACACTGAAGAGGTTAGTTAAATTATCCAAACGTTGACGCTGAATAGCTACATACATAAATGAGGTTTTTAGTTAACGTCTTATTAGTTAAAAATTGAAATTAGTTAGTAGATTTTAGAACTCACTCGTTTGTTGCAACCGTGTTCGTCGTGATAATCTCGGATTTCCTGTCCGTTTCCTACCTTACATACAATATGAACCCTGTCAAGGCGGTCTCCAGTTGACTTGGTGATACACGTAAGTCCTGTAATATCAGCAGTAAATTTGAGTCTTGAAAAATAGTCCACATAAAACTCTAAGGAGTCATCAGTTATCAATTGGATCAATATTATCATAATAATTTGTAGAAAGGACTTCGGAATCTAAGATCGAACCAGATGCCTTTAAGGATTTCTCGGAGTAATCACCTCTTTAAACCTAATGCCAAGTAAATTTTCTGCACCATCTTTCTGTTAGTCTAACATAAAACAAATACTTGCAAGATACTGGTTGTCTTTCAAACTAAAAATCCAAATCTTGGTGTCGATCTCATCATTCGATGGAATACGTTAAGTTTGGTCTTTACACACTTATCAGTATTTTGAAGCCTTTTAAAAAATATTTTTTCCAACACTATCGTTTCAGGTTTGAACTGTCTTCATCAGAAATCGTTATCATAAGTGTTACTTAGTTTGGTGGTCATACATTTTCTTAGTTAATAGATTTCTGCCAGAGTCCACGGATCAGTAGGTGCATTGGTTTACATCTCTCAATCATTGGCTATTTATAATTCAGTTCCAAGACACTGAGTTTGGCTTCTAACTGAGATACCAAATGTAATATGTTCGAATCTCTATAGATTTATGCTTCCACGTTACTGATTCACTGTATTAGTGACTACTAACAGGCTTTGAATGGGAATCCAGTGTCTTTAGCAAATCAAAGTTCGAACCCCTTATTGCCATCTAAGGCTTTTGGAGAAGTATGATCTAAATGTACATATAAAAAAGACATTGATTGTCATGCTAAAATCAGACTTGGAAAAATCTAAATCTCTCGTCAAAGTAATTTCCTAATCGATACCTTATAAAAGATTTACTAGCAAGTGTAAACATATGTTCCATGTATTGGTTTTATGAAAGTACTGCACTCAGCGTCCGGTGGTTTTGTAGAGATACGTATAACTTGTCTTTTATGGAGTCGATGGGAATCCGCTCTAAAGAAAAAGCATATGATCACAAGTCGTAATGAATTGTACAGTACTTATTCAATCCAGCTTCTAAACATCTTACTCTTGCAAATTAATGATAAGAATATGATTTAGCTCAGTAATCACACGTGTATGTTTCACGTTTACAAGCTAGTTATTAAAAGTAGGTGGAACTAAAGACCCGCAGTTCGCGATAAGTTAGTAATACATGACGAAGTTGTAAATGAGTCAATATTTCACATATACCTAACTTTACCATTTTTAATTATTGATTTCTTCAACTCTTTGTCTCTGCCTGTTATTTTTTCGAACTCGGAGTCGTAGCTCAGACATTCGACTTTCAGCCAATAAGTTCTTGGTCTGAACCCCGCCCCATCAACTTCAGCTTAGGTAACCGCACCTTATTATTAGTTCTCATACATGGAGTGTAACTCAGAGCCAAGTACACAAATGAGTCTAACGATTTTTTCAACGTTAAAAATTTTTGAACTGCTCAGTTTTCCTGTATATCAAATATGTTGTTCTATTCAAACATTATACTGACGAAGACTATTAGTGCTCTTTAGTATATCACAACAGTCGAGTAATTACCCAAATAGAAATCTTAGTGTTTTAGCTGCTTCAGATGTTTTAGATATTATTGTTAGTATCTGTAGAATTATCCCATAAGCTTACTGATCTGAGTGGTTATACAAGTTGCTTCAGCATTGATGACATTTGGGTAAATCGTCCCATATTGTATATTTCAAAATTGAACTGACCGACTGTTTTGCGCTTAAACGGTTAAAAATAGTTATACAGCTGTAATGACTTTTTAACTAGCGTGTTTACAGTTATATTCAAAGTTATCATACTGTCTATTTTACTGCAAATCGTTTGTTTATTTTCTATGGTATGCTATACATAACTTACGAACCATGATCAATAATTGGTTTAAACAGGTATTTTGAGCTATTGTGCATATATTGTGGCCAGTACAACGAAACGGTTCCTGTAGCATTCGTTTTGGGCTTTTACGTTTCACTTATTGTTCAACGTTGGTGGGAACAGTTCCTAGCATTACCATGGCCTGATCGTCTGGCTTTGTTTATAACAGCTTTTTGTCATGGGAACGCTGAACGCCCAACAAGAATCAGGCGAAATATAGTTCGATATATCAATCTATCTTATTGTATTGCTTTACGTGCAATCTCATCTCGAGCTCGCTTGCGTTTTCCGACAGAAGAACATCTTGTTACTGCAGGTGATCCAATGTTTTCATTAAATATTGTGTCATTTTGAAAATATTCATCAATAGGACTTAATGTTATTTTAATCAATTCTCACGCTTTATATAACAAACATACGTTTTGATATTAATGTTTTTGGTTTTGCGTATTATCGATAAATTCATTTTGTGTAAGTTAAAGGTTTGGATTCCATTGTACTGTTATTGCATAACGAAACTCATTGTTCTCTAGGTTTACGCTTGCAGTATCATTGTTTTAGTAAATTAGCCAATTTATTGTGATTTCTGGGTTGTATCTGTCTATTTATTTATTTGAACACATGAATATTGGTACGAGAGCGCCAATATATATGCGCCACACAAAACAATAAGAATTCGAAGAGAAATAGAAAAAAAAGCTAAGGAGCGCAAAAAAAAGAGAACAATAACGAAGAGATTGGTGTAAGGTAGTGTGGTAGTAACGAGGGAACGAAAGGTACAATCAGAAGAAATCTTTCAGGTAAGGAGACACAACCACTTTTTATGAAGAAAGTAAAAGAAGGTTACAGCAGGATCGCCACTGGCTTCTATTCTGAGCCATATCTGATAACGTCTCTAGCCACTGTGTAGCACCATCTCTCGGACCCCAACCAGGGAGTCGTGAAGGACCAACACAAGCCAGTCCTTTGCAGCTTTCTTTCATGCCACGACACCATGTCATGCACTGACCACCTCTCCGCTTCTTCCAACCAGTCCCAGAGTCGGCAAATAATGCACGACGTGGAATTCTCTGGGACGACATTCGGAGAACATGTCCAAGCCACCGAAGTCGGTGTTTCAAGATGGTGACACCAATTGAATTATCATCTCTGTGCCCGAACACACGATGCCGAACCTCTGCATTACTGACATGGTGTTGCCACTGAATGTCAGCAATCCTTCGGAGACAGCGATGATCGAACACAGAGAGTCGTCTAACGTCCTCAACTCGGAGAGGCCAGGTTTCACAAGCATAGAGCAAAACTGCTCTCACCGACGCGTTGTAGATCCGACCTTTTACAGCCAGACTAACATCACGAAGGCGCCAAAGGTGGCCCAGATTGGCATAAGCCGCTCTGGCTTTCACTATACGTGCATTGATCTCATCACTCACCCCCACCAGCACTTATGCAGCTACCCAGATACACGAACTTCTCGACTACGTCTATCTGCTCACCATCCAGGGTGAGTACAGGATTAGAATCCTGCCAGTCTTGTAGAAGTACTTTGCACTTCGAAGGTGCAAAGCACATACCATACCTACGGACACTGATTGCCAACTGATTAAGTGCGGATTGCATGCCTTGGGCATTATCGCACAGTAAGACAATATCGTCCGCATACTCAAGGTCGAGAAGTCTTTCTCCAGGCAACAGATCCACACCACCATTACTTACATTCATCAGAGCTGTTTCCAGAATGTCATCGATGGCAAAGTTGAAGAGGAATGGTGAGATTGGGCAACCCTGCCTAACCCCACTGCTCGAATGGAACAATGGAGAGAGGTGGTTGTATGCCCTCACTCTGCCTGAGGTGTTTTTATATAGGGCTTTTAGGATGTTAATAAACTTCTCAGGCACACCCTTCTTCAATAGACAATCCCAGAGAACAGTCCTGTCCAACGAATCGAAGGCAGCCCTGATGTCAAGAAACACTACGATTGTTGGCCTTTGATAAGTATGGCGGTGTTCTAACATTTGGCGGAGGGTGAAGATATGATCAATACATCCTCGACCAGAACGAAACCCAGCCTGCTCCTCGCGAGTCAATCTTTCTCGGGTTTTGAACAACCTACGAAGTATGACGGAAGCCAATAGCTTGGACGCAATCGGAAGTAGACTTATCCCCCGATAGTTGTTACAGGAACGACGTGAACCCTTTTTAAAGATAGGGACAACTATCGACTCATTCCATGACGTTGGTACACTCTCTAGTTCCCAAACCTTTGTAAACAACGTCGTCAATTCCTTAGTCAAAAAGTCACCACCATCTTTAAAAAGAGCCGGAGGTAAGTCATCTGGGCCAGGTGATTTGTAACGCTTCAAGAGTTGGAGTTCCTTGCGGACTTCCTCCTCGTTTGGTGGATCAGTCGTCACCGGCCATGGAGGGCAGGACAGTCTGACCGATGTTGCCGGAGCAGCAGGCCAGTTGAACTGCCCTTCGAAAAATTCTGCCCATCGTCCAAGACGTCGATGGATGTTAGTGATTGGCATCCCATCATCCTCGCAGATTGTTTCACTCACACCAGACTTCTTGCTGCCAGTGGCTCGGATGAGCTGGAAGAGCTTCCGGTAGTTACCAGATGCAGCTGCTGCTTCCAGCTCATTAGCACGCTTCGACCACCAGGCTTCTCGGTCCTTACGCAAGCTTTGCCCAATTTCCTTACGTAACATCCTTCGTTTATGGTCAAACTCACGGTCACCCGGAGTAGACCGACGGGCTTCAATGAGTTGTAAGGAACCAGAAGAAACCCAGTGCTTAAAGCGGGACGTTTCGCAAACCCACAACTGACTGTTCCCGCCATTTTCATGGCGTCATGCAATTGCAACCAATGCTCATCTATACTTTTCGGTGGAGTGGTAGCTAGCCTAGAGGCTAGCTCGGTTCGATACTTACTTGCAACAGAAGTTGCAACCAGCTTGCTAACATCAATCCGTTGATGGCGGTCACTTCGTTGTCCACTGAAAAGTAAGGCAAGATTGGCGCAGACCAAGGCATGGTCAGAGTCCAGATAGGTACTCCAAAAGGAGCGGCAGTCTTGTACACAACCACGCCAGCGGTAGCTGATCGCGATGTGATCAATCTGAGTCCAGGCTTGAGATGCAGAGGGAGGACGCCAGGTGGCACATCGGCGATGACTGTGCCGAAAGTTAGTGCTAGCCAGAAACAGGTTGTGGTCTGTGCAAAGTTGCAGTAGACGGTCCCCGTTATCTGACCTGCGACCAACGAGTCCCCATCGGCCACCTAAACGACTCTCTTCTGTGCCTAGACGCCCGACCTGAGCATTCAAGTCTCCGGCTAGTACTACAATATCTGTCGAACGCACTTTCTGGAGAAGAACTGATAACTGGTGGTAAAACTCATCCTTGATTGCATCCGGGCTGCAATCTGTCGGGGCATAGGCGGAGATGACGAAAAGACATCGTTTCTCACGCCGATTTCTTCTCACTTTGATGGAACTTTCTAATCTAACAGCACATAACCGACTGTTAATGGGGATCCAATCGACTAGTGCTGCCTCAGCTCTAGCGCTTAGTGCGACACCAACGCCAGCAAGACCAGACGAAGATGCCACAGGGTCCCCGGATAAGCGCACGTAAAACAAGCTTTTCGAAGCGACAGATGGAGATCGAATTTGTAGTACTTCGCCAGAGTCTTGAATACGGGTCTCGGATAGACAACAAACATCAATATTAAGACTTTCCAAAGACATAGCCAGCGTTGAAGGCAGCCAGTTTGAATGGTGCACGTGGTTTCAGAATAACTGCTTCAGTACTCATTCGGTGGTAACATACAATTTTCAACCGGACAGTGACTCGAGAAAGTTTAGATACAGTCGAATTTCCACCAAAGACAAGCCGCTGTATAAGTATAAAAGAGAGTGAATAATGTGGAAAATAATAATAATAATAATAATAATAATAATAATAATAATAATAATGACAATAATAGTAATAATAATGACAATAATTGTAATGTTAATAATTTGAATCAATTGATTGTTTTTCGAAGCGAGAAAAGTAATTTCCATAGACATAGAGAGTTCATCATTTGTGTGTGGGCTTTGATACTGCCCGGGTGCCCAAACCGATGAAGGTGGTTATCTTAGGGGGCCACTCCCCGAGCCTTTGACATAAAGGTCTAACCCACAAGGCAGTGGAGCATCGGAAGGAGATGCAATCCCATGGTAGCCGGTGACCGACGATTGGTTCATACTCCATTTGTTTCTTCAGGATACTGGAGCCCATGTGTACTATTGGTTTGTAATCAGGCCATTCCAACTCCCCTAGGTGGACTCACCATGTCCACCAACCCGGTTAAAGCGCAGGACATTCGCTTTTCGTCCTCTCAATTTCGTAAACAACACCCCCGCCACGAGAAGGCAATGAGTAGGACTTCCCTGACAGAGGCTGTATACGCGCGGCCGTGTGAGAGTATTTCGAGAGGGAGAGCGGACTCTCCCCACTCTCGGCCGTACCAGGGCATTCGGAGGCTGTATCTGTCTAACAAAATATTAAGTAATATGTTTGTGAATACCTGAACCTTGAGGTGGAGGGTTCCAGTTAACTGTTTGATTATTGATATATGTGTTAATTTCTTTTTTATTGACTTTAATAATAACAGCTTCTTAATGTGAATGTTAATTGTGATGTCTTTTAGTAATTTTAGAAAGTAGTATGATAGTCCAACTATTTCATAGGAATATTTATATTGAACTCTGGATTACATACTTGATTCCATTTCATTAATTTAATCATTTAAATATATACAAATTTTTTTCCCCAGAAACTGAGTGATTGTTGATTTTCAAACAATATGTATCATTGACATCGTTACATAGTACCTACTGTGAATTTACTGGATTGTAATTAATTATAATCATGCTTTTTGGAAGATGAAAGACCTTAAAAATAATTGAAGTATTAAATCTAATTTTTACTACACGAAAATATATTCTGAGACCTCATATATAAAGCATCACCTCATAACTGTCATTTCCATGGCGAAAAAATGTTCTGGTACTTAAATCTTATTTTTTAAAATTACTCGTAATTCCCAAGTTCTCACACGTGTTTCAATCATACACTTTAAACTCTATGTCATATAATCTCTGAAAGAGTTAATGAAATGTACTCTGTACATTAGAAAAATGTACATTCCATTCGCATATAAGTATTGGACTGATTTTATTCTGGTAATGTACCATTTGAAAGTAAGCACATAAATAAATCCATTTCTTTACTGTGGATGGACTCGTTAGTTGAAGACAACCTACAAAAAGCCTTGGATGTAGGTTTTTTTAAACACTCGTCAGTATAGAATATTTACTGTCTCAAGGAAACCGATGCTTCATGTGGGTTTCGAATTTCTGTCACTTAGTGTCAAAGTTAGTGTTTTGTCACCTAACTATTCGGGATACGGCTGAACTGTGGAACAGTTGAGTACACACTGATTGATCATTTATAATGACCAATACTATGTCTAGTTCTTGTTGCTGATGGAATTCTACCGATAAAGTTGGAGTATATAATTGTATTTTATCAGAACGTGGGTTTAGGTTATACTCAGAATAATGACAATGTAAATTGATTCAAATGTGTTAATTCACCACCAACAATTCAATAATTAATTATTAATAAACCGAGCTATTTGTAAGAGGTCTGTTAATACTGAAATAGATTACTTTATGGTATTTAATAGCAATAAAGAATGGCATTTACAGTGTATATTTTCTCTTAAGAAGAGCTAGTCAAAGGAAATAGTCAATTTATCTCATAGTTTTCCTTAATACTGAAGTAGTCACTTTAAAAAACCCATATACAGACTAACAAGTGCTAGCCAAATAAGATTAACTCGCTTATACATACACTTAACTGAGTTCATATCTAAAGTGTATAGCATCCATTCTGCATTTCACTGCTGACTAGTGCCGTCAAAATTATTTTTTTTCATGAGGATAATTGCATGTTTCTAAGTGTTCGTACTACTTTTTCTCTTTTCAGGATTGATGACACAAGAAGAATTGGATATTTATCGTAGTACTCAACCCAGTGAATATACTTTATACTTTGTTCCGTTAGTATGGGCCCTAGATATGGTTACAAAAGCTCGTGAAGAAGGCTACATACGCTTTGATAGAGCTGTAGAAATTTTGACGAATGAAATCACATCATTTCGTAGTAAATTAGGTACAATATTTGCTTATGATTGGGTTAATCCTCCACTCGTGTATACCCAAGTGAGTTGATAAGTATTAGTAAACTAACATGCAATAACAAGACGGACTGTTTACTACTTTTTCAAGATTTGGTATTTTTTTAATGGTTTACTGACAGATAATTATATTTCCCTTATGTCTGGTGGTCAAACAATTGGGAATGTTTAAAGTGCGACTGACAAATACACAATTTCCAAACAAGCCACATATTAGGATACGAGTGGGACTTAATACCACCTTTCATCAGACGATTCTAGTCATGTCTGCGTTAAATAGAGAACATTTCCTTTAGCGCAGTGTTTCACCGGTTAAGGCCACTAACTTAATGATTCGACATCGTCACAACTGCTCCGATTTGAACAATGTTCCACCAGTTTGAAAGAGAGATAAAATCAAGTTCTGGAGTATTGACGACTTAGTCACTGGATTTCGAACCAATGGATCTCTGGTTTAAGATCTGCCTCACTTACACTAGTTTTAGGATACGTGGTTGTATCCCTAGCCCTAACAATTCGAGTGTGGTTTGAAGGCAAGTTCATGAATAAGATTCTGGTAAATAAGTTAGTATCTTGTTGTTCAAGAGGCATATGAAAATCCTATTGGATTAAATCCAAGCTTTTTTGTTTGAATCCTTCAATTTGATTTTGTTCTTATTACTTCAAGTCTTTCTAGTAAACATAAGTAGCCATCTTCACCACCGACACGTTTATTTAAACTCTCTCTCTCTTTCTTTCTCTCTCTCTATTATATATATATATATATATATATATATATATATATATATATATATATATATATATATATATAGTTTCCGATATAACAATTTAAAATACTTTTCTCAGGTATAAAATATTAGTTAACCTAGTTTTAGCGATTAGTTTAATTAATATTTTAGCTAAAATCTGGGAGTTGGACGTAATCCCATCTGACTGGTCGCAATCACTGATTGTCCCAATATATAAGAAAAGGTCAAAATCATCCTGTGATAACCATAGAGGGATCAGTCTAATATAGCATCTAAAATACTAGCTTCAATAATTACCAGGCGCCTAACAGAGACTCCTAAACTGCAACACGAGAAAATCAGGCCGGCTTCAGACCTGGTCGTGGATGCATCGACCACATATTCACTATTAGTCAGGTTCTAGAACACAGGCATACTTATCGGCATCCGATAATAGTGGTCTTTCTCGAATTAAACGCAGCACTTGACTCTGTAGACCGTGAGATTCTGTGGCGGTGTCTGTTATTGAAAGGCGTATCTCAGAAGTACATGAACCTTGTGAAGGCTCTTTACTCGAACGCTACTAGTCGAGTCAGAGCTTATGGCGAACTGTCATCTACTTTTGCAACCTCAAGTGGTGTCCGTCAAGGATGTCCACTTTCCCCATTTTTGTTCAAATTCATCATAGACCTACTGATGGTAATAACGCTCTCGTCGCTGACTAACTGACTGACTGACTACCCAACGCAGCCACAAGCAGTCACACTCAGTAAGTCCAGAGTGAAAATCAGTGGAAGGTAAGGAAACCACATATTAAGTCAGTAGGTTGTGGCTGTTTGTCCACACTCCTTGACTAACCATATTTTAATTTTACTGCCACACATCAGTTTTTTTATACGATTATGCATCCAGATTATTTGTCATTAACGCAGCTACAATCCCATATTCTTTAATAATCCATATATCTATATAAATATTTCTATCATGATATGTGATATATGCCTTGTAACTTGTCAATTAATTGGCTCACCCACTAAATGCTTTCACACATGAAAATAAGATACGTCAGCCAAACAAATCAATCGGTTTTGATGTTTACTCTAAAAATAACGTTAGTATTTTAGGTGATGTGTAGTTGTGCATCCTCTGGTGGTTACCTTTGTGTATGTGTGCAATTTAGACACCATTTATTTATAGATAGTTGAAAGATGGCGTAAATTATGGGGAAATTTGAATATAATAAACCAGTTAAATTTGTTATGCTTCAGTATTTCTACTTAGTACTGTTAGTTAGATCTGTTTTTTAGAAGTTACGAACTATGCGCAAGCATATGTCTAATGCACATTGATTTTCGACTGTATTCTAGCTGATATTACCTTGGCTAAAAACTATCATGACCATAAGTTTGTAATGTTTTGCGATTTCGAAAAGTTTTTAGATCCCAAGTACTTTTAAAACCATCATTCTGTTATTAAGAAAGGACTATCAGTTTCATCATATACCTTTTTCGAAGGTATTTTTCAGTTTTGCAATGAATCGTTAAGGTGGCAAACTACAATCCGCCACAATATTTGGGTTCCACTTCTCAGTGGGTGGGGCAGGAATAGAGTGAGGGAGCTTGGAGTGTCCGGACCAAAACGTGGACTCATTCCGTAGACATTAACTGTTAATCTTGGTCATGTTGGTAAGTTCAGACTACTTGGTTAGGGGCGGTGCAATGGTCGTCGTATGAATTCCGTATGATGTTAACGACCTTCTCATCCCGACCGTTGCTGCTACCTTCAAGTGGTGGTCGGGCTTGCCTATCGTGACTAACTAATCGGGACATACTGACTAGCACAACCGTTTTTCAAGGTCCTACCACGCTAGGCAAGTCGGTTGAAGAACGATAAGACTAAAGGCAGGAAACCCAAAGTCCGAAGGCGAAGTCGTACTTCTGACTGTGCAGAGGTGTGACGGTAGTAAGATGTTTCTTTCAGACAACCAGCATAACAGCGATGCTGCCTTCCCACAAGGAGGGTTGGGGTTAGGGAGCGTCGAGCCGAATGAATGCACACCTCGCCTTATCCCGAATATATCCGTCTCCGGCGGTAAGGTCTCAACAAGTACGGAGCTAACACGAAAAACTACCCGCAAAAAGGTCGTGTGTGATCGACCTCATGCAGTTGTCTCTTGGGCACTGCTGTCACGCTCTCAGGTCCCTATGACCACCAACCCAGTTTCCTTGTCAGGTACATCTAGAAAAACCCTTCCACTGTGTGGGCGACCGGGAAGTGATGACCGCCCTCATACCTATAATAGCACTCAAGATTCTCAGCTACTCCATTGTGTCGAAGAAGGTTCTATAAATTTGTACAATCCACTGTGTCAAACGCTTTCTCATAATCAAGGAAGTTGATGTATAGTGACTAGTTCCGTTCAAGTGATTGCTCAACAATGATCTGTAGTGTCCCAAGTTGGTCAGTGCCCTACCGATCTTTACGGAATACAACCCGTCTACTGAATCTTGCATCTGATTCAAAAACATACTGTTGAAAACCTTTCCCAGTGCTGATAGTAGTGTGATGACTGTGTAGTTCTCACACTTTCTCGGATCTTATTTCTTCGGTGTCTTAGTGAGGTAACCTTTCCAATCTGTCGGCACTCGTTCTTCCTCACATGTCTTTCTCAATAGAATGTGGAGCATGTTTGCAGCTACTTCTATTTCTGACTTCAGTGCTTCAACTGGTGTGTTATCTATTCTTGGTGCTTCCCCACTCTTGAATTGTCTGATGGCCATCCTGATTTGTTCGATCGTTGGTGGAGTGACATCAATAAGAAGGTCTGTAGGTGACATTCAAAGTATTCTCAACACTTGTCCCTCTGTTCATGAATCCCAGTCATTGGTTTGCCTTGTGTGTTCTTGACTGGTCGCTGTAGTTTACTATATTTCCCCACCAGTTTATTCGTTGTACCATGTATTTGTCGCACAGTACAACTTTTTAAGTTTATAGTTGTTGTAAAGCAGGTTTATGGAGCGCTTGGTATGAGCTGTGACCTTGAAGAAACGCGTACGTCAAGTTTGTTTCAGGCTTCAGAAGCTCCATAGCTGTGCATTGAGAGCGTGATGCTGAAAAGAGAGTAACAAAGGAGCAGCAAAGCACTTGGATTTAAACGCTAGACAATGCTTAACACTTTTTAGTGGAACAGATATAGGTATGATAAATTAGTAGATTTAACTCATGCTAACTCTTGTTGTTGTAGTGAAATGTGGTTAGTCTCTAGATAAGAGAATGTGGTAATAAAAATCAATGAGTTGTGATATTCAACGAGGTGGAGCAGGTTCAGATGTTGGGAGGGAAGTCGAAGTTAGGATAAAGAAGTCTGCTTATTAGAGTGGAAAGTGTACCAAGAGAGTAAGTGTTATGAAGCACTAATGACTATATCTTTTATTCTCTGGTGTTTTTTAGTTTTTCTCATCTGATGCGAGACACAAGGTCCTGATGTAAAAGTCCGAGTCAGCATGTTATGGGGTTGTCTTAGTAGGATAGCTAATCCAGCATGAAATTGAAAACTATCTTGAATTCGTTGAGTTTGTGTGTATATCGAATGAAGGCTATATTAAACTTTTGTAATGCTGTTTCTCCAGTTGTCCAGTGCTTCTTTGGCTTCATTTTCATCTTAATAAGCACCAAGTGGTGACCTAAAGATATGTCGGCTCCTCTCTTGTTTCTCATGTCTTCAATTGATCTTCTGAATTTTGTAGTGGTGCAAATATGATCGCTCTGGTTCTCTGTGGTGTGATCTGGTGAGACAGACACATGTAGCTTTCTGTGTGCGTTTGTGTGGGAATATTGTGCCACCTATAATTATTTTGTTGAATGCACATGAATTTGCGAATCTGTCACCATTCTCATTCGTTTCTCCCAGTCAGTTCATGTCGTCTCACTCTATCTTCATATCCGATGTTGTCCATTCCGACTTTGGTGTTTAGGTCTCCCACCAGGATGGTCTAGTCGTTTCCTGAACACTTTTCTATGATCGACTGCAGTCTCTTGTAAAACTGGTCTTTTTTATCGTCGTTACTATAATTGGTTAACATTCATTGTGATTCCCTCTTTCTTTGTTTATAAAGATGCATTGATAATTCTGGATCCATGAGATTCCCATTCTATAAGTGCATTACGTGATTCTTTGGATAGCATTAGTGCAACTCCTTGTATGTAGGGCATTTTCTTCGTCGCCAGAGTGCAACAGCACTTCTCTCGAAGCCAATCCTTTCTGTTCAGTTTGCTTCCAGTGTGTTTCACTTGTTCC